AAGTGCAGACTGCCTCTTTTACGGCCAAAGAAACACAGTGTATGGTAAAGAAAGTGTCCTAAGGCCGAGAAAAGGAAATAGCTAAGTAATAGGAATGGTAAAGCTACTATAAAAAAAAAGACTGAAACCGAACCCTTTAAACAACTTCCAGCTAGTATGTGACATACAAGTCAGTTAGGTTCAACACTATGCCAGTGGATGACAGGGCGGTGCCCAACTCCGATGCCAGCCAGCCACGTCATGGACAGACGCACCAATGAGATGATGGTTAGGGATAGTCAGAGGCGAAAGCTAACCACAACTTGGAAGAACGGAGAAATTGTGTACAGCTACAAACAGGATCCGGGAACACAAGCTTTCGGTCAAAGGGAATGAATTCTACACGAGCATCTTGAGAAAAGCACTTGTGTCATTCCCCATACTTCACAGTCTAGCCAGCACCAGCATTTACACACTGAATGTCGGCATAAGATAGAGTGACCAAATTAAGACAACATCACCAGGCCTGGCCATCAAACAGAAGACTGTTGTCGAGAGCAACCTGGATCTGTATGCAGTGACCATGACCATGATACTCGATAGGCACTTGGATACCCATATGTGCACAGAATATGATTGGAAAAACCTCAACCAAGACAGAGGCACTGAAAATCTGTCTCCAGTGGCTTGTTCAAACACGGCTACGAATCCCACCAGACCAAACTTACACAATCCACTACAAACGAGCTGTAAATGGTCAGCGTGCTGTGTTCGAAACGCTCGACCACGTTCCTCGGCAAAGGACACCACGGGTGTGCACGTACTCTTAACCAGTTCAGCCGTGCATGGGATGTGACAGTATTGCCTGTGACCGAACAGCTTGAAAAAGAACGAGACAATCCCTCTAGTCACTGCATATGGCCCATTTCACAAGGCATATCCTTGGCCTGAGAGTACACCATGACGATTGTTCCTTCATTTCTCTGACCAGTTGGGCCCACACTTGAGGTCCATAATCAAGATGGAGAGCAGCTAGCTTGCTCTATGAACGCATGCGACAATATTCAGTAGACGGCATAATCCTGACTCCTGCATGGACAAAAACAAAATGAAAAGCCACACCAAGTCATAAGCATCGTGATTAGTATACATGTAAACTACTACAATGTATTCTGAATGCAATTGAACCTCGGAACATAAGCCATACCCCTGGCAACTGCATACTCTCGGTGGGAACTAATTCAAACTATTACTTCACAAAACGGGGTTTCCAGTACGTTTTGAACTTAACATCCCTAACGAGTAATCTACAATGTAACGATTATGAAGTTGATTGTGAGGAATTATTGATCAATGACCGAGTAATCGGTATAATCGTTTCAGCCCTACTTGTACTTCATAGGTCAACCCAATCCCACGGGCCACGACACGCTGATACCACCATAATTATGCCATTTTTACAGGGTTTAATGCACAGCTTCCACATTTCATACTGGTAACACAACTACAAGCACATGCGCGCACCTCTATGTGAGACCAATCGACCTGCAAAAGTTACAAATACGGCAAAAGCGTGTGTATGCGCATGGGCCATTACGATATGGTCCTCTGGTCAGGGTCTGTTCACTGTTATGCTGTCCTTTTTTTTCTTGGCTTACGGGGCAGGAATGTCCCCGTTGTGTTGGTGATGTGCAAGCGGCGTGGGCCGGCTAAGAGTGCAGTGTGGAATGGTGGAGCGAGTTAATTCACCGAGAAACGATGAAGGTAATAATTGCGCCTGCCAAACACCATGAGACTCCAGAATATGTGTTTGTCTATGGAGTAAATAAGAGTGCATACATACTTATTTAATTCTACACACATTCCCATGACTACCATGCATGAACTGCGAAATCGGGTGAAGTGCCTCAATGGACATCGCTCTGAACTACAATTTTGACCCTCGTTTGCACCTGATCTGAGAACGCGATCAGCCTTTTGAAGTGTATCTGTTCACATTCAAAACACCTATTAATATTTGTAACATCGTAGATAATTGTTCTCAAGTTTACGAGAAGAAAATCAGAAATCCATCAGCCATACTAGTTTTCGTGGTTCTCGTGCATTGGCAACTAGGGTATTAGGAAAAATTCGCCAAATTTTTGGGCAAGTTACTATCACTACAATTTTTGCTTTATGAGCAGCCTAGAACAATGGACTATACATACCTGAGGTCTGGGTGGTGTCCGGTAGTTCATTTTTGGTTCTCACGCCATCAAGTATTTTGGCATCCAAAAATCATAAATTCTGGAGGACGCAAAATTGAGAAAAGTGGCTCTCCTGCAACATGACGGAAAAATCTCTGGCGTTCCGGCTTCCAGATTTTGTTTAGGGACTATCCTAGCCCTCAGCAGGCCAAGTTACAACAGCATTCATGAAAGTCTTCCATGCCAAATCGAAGACGATCAAAATGGTGATTCTGCTCAAAATTGGTCACAGAAAAAGTCGAAAAAAGCGGCGTCGTCATCTTCATTTTGCATAAAGATTCGGGTGATTTTTGGCCCTTGGCGCATGGACATGCGTTTGTAACTTTAAAGGACCATAAAGATGGCTTTGCAGAGAGCCTGCCATGCAGGCTGATAAACCCAGCGAAGTCAGAGGTGGGCGTGGTCAGCAAGGACATAATCGACGGTATCATCGGCCCCATGCGCAACGATGTCTGCAAGAATTTGTGGAAGAACACCTCAGAAGTGATCAATTGGTTCAAGGCGATCGAAAACAAATCAAGATTCACATTCATCGTGTTTGACATTGTGGACTTCTACCCGTCTATTACGGAAGACCTCCTGCTGCAAGCTCTCGACTACGCGAAGACGTTTGCCACAATATCCGAAAAAGAAACAGACATCATATTGCACTGCCGTAAATCGCTGTTATTCCACAAAGGACAAGCGTGGGTAAAGAAGGAGAAGGATGGATCTTTCGACGTAACTATGGGCTCATACGATGGAGCTGAGGCCTGTGAGCTTGTAGGAGCCTTCATGCTCAGCAAGCTCCGCCCACTTCTAGGCGAGGAATGTGTCGGGTTGTACCGAGACGATGGTCTGGCCATAGTCAAGGATGCCACCGGCCATGGAGCTGACCGCTTGCGTAAGGAGATAATCCAGGTGTTCCAAACACACGGCCTGAAGATTACAATAGACGCTAACAGAAAGGTCGTCGATTACCTCGACATATCAATGAACCTCAACACCGGTACCTTTCAGCCGTACAGAAAACCAAATAGCACTCCAGTATATGTTGATGTCAGCTCCTGCCACCCGCCACAAGTATTGAAGCAGATCCCGATTGGCGTTAACAAGCGTCTTCAGCGGATATCTTGTAATGAAGACGTCTTTAATGATGCCAAGCCCGTATATGAGGACGCCCTGGCAGCAAGCGGACATCCAAGAACCATGGCATACAGTGACGAACCGGAACAAAGGAAAAGAAGGAAGCGGCGTAGCAGAGATGTGATTTGGTTTAACCCGCCCTATAGCACAACGGTCAGAACCAACGTTGGTGCAAGGTTCCTGGGCCTCATCAAAAAGCATTTTCCAAAGGGTTCGGCACTGAATAAGATCTTCAACAAAAATAAGATAAAAATCAGCTACAGCTGCATGAGAAACGTAGCCTCCATCATCAAAGGTCACAACGCTGCGAAGCTCCAGCCAAGGCCGCCCGTTGAGCCTTGTAACTGCCGGGTCAAGCCATCCTGCCCGCTCAAGGGGGAATGCCAGTCGACTGACGTCATATACCAGGCACATGTGTCATCTCCCCAGACCAAGACATACACCGGACTGACGGCCAACACCTTTAAATCGCGCTACAACAACCACTCCACAACATTCCGGCATGAGAAATACTCTACATCGACGGAGCTCTCAAAGCATATTTGGGACCTTCAGAACGCCCAGCGCAACTTTGACATCAGCTGGAAAATAAAAGATCGCGCCCCATCCTACAGCAACATCAGCAAACGATGCAGCCTGTGCCTCACCGAGAAGTTTCACATCCTCACCACTCCAAATGCCATCTCACTTAACAAAAGGAGCGAGTTAGTATCAAAGTGCCGCCACCAGCGCAAGTTTTTGCTGGGTTATGAAGTGACATAACGTGTATGACGTGCTATGGGTTTGGCGTGTGTGTGTATGTGTGTATGTGTGTGTGTCTGTGTATGTGTGTGTGGTGCGTGTGTGTTTGGCGCGCGCGCGTGTGTGTGTGTGTTTAGGTGCGATAATGCGGGAGTGTGGAGAGTGTGAGAACGAGAGGCTGTGTGTAGGTATGTGTATGTGGTGCATGCGTGTGTGGTGCGTGTGTGTTTTGGTGTGTGTGTGTGTGTGTGTGTGTGTGTGTGTGTATGTGTGTGTGCGTGTGTGTGTGTGTTTAGGTGCGATAATGCGGGAGCGTGGAGTGTGTGAGAACGAGAGGCTGTGTGTATGTGTGTGTGTGGTGCATGTGTGTGTTTTGGTGCGTGTGTGTGTTTGGTGCGTGTGTGTGTGTGTGTGCGTGCGCATGTGTTTAGGTGTGATAATGCGGGAGTGTGGAGTGTGTGAGAACGAGAGGTTGTGTGTGGATTAGTGTGTGTGTGTGTGTGTGTGTGTGTGTGTGTGTGTGTGTGTGTGTGTGTGTGTGTGTGTGTGTGTGTGTGTGTGTGTGTGTGTGTGTGTGTGTGTGGATGAGTGTGCGTGTTCATGTTTCACCCAGCACCTGAGATGTTGATTCTGGCACGTCAGAGCGTACTGCCTCTGGGAGGTGTTGAATGATTATCATATTGTCTGCACTGAATTATTCTATCTCCTCTGCTTGCCTTCATATACCTGCGTTTTTTCTAATCTCCTTATGTTGTCTGATGATTGGTTTTTGCCATGAAACTCTGAGTTACAACAAAAACAGCCCTATATACTTCCTTTTGTGTACCTCTTGCGTACTACGCTCTGCCCATTCCGGGCATTTGAGCACTATTGCAGGTTAAGGCGCACACCCTCTGTATACAGTAACTATAACCTTCACATCCTCATATTTACACCTGTCCATATATGACATTAGAATAGCATGCTGCGTACTACTTCCCGTACTACCGGTACCTTTTCTAGTACTCACATATTGTACAACTTTACACACCAAGATAAAATAACAAGGATGACAGCCCTTCAGGGTTAGTTGTCGGTTAGCCGGACAAGAGTGGGTTGTTGGTGTGTCCTCCCCTAGGCCCTTCACAGAAACATAGAAGAGATCAAGCAGATGGAATCAAGAGTAAGTAAGAGATGGATGTCCGATTTTAATTTATCCGTAAAAATTATTTTTTGCCCGCAAAAATATGTTAAGGGGCCGGTCACACTGAGGGAAAATTTGAAAAAAAATTCGTGGTAACCATGGATAGTAAGTTGCCGCTGAGCGGGAGATTTGAGAGATTTAATCCACTCGATGAAAATCAGCTCGAGGCCTCGCTTTTCCGCCGAAGATTATTATCATCCGCAGCTTCCACTGGATTTCTTTGAGTTTCCTTGTTTTTATTGCGTTATAAAGACTAAAGTGGAGCGACACTCTAGAGGCTGTGCTGATGCAGCTCTGGCCCAGGAGCGGGGCTGAAAGACTGCCAGAAGCGAATGGTGACAACAAAATTGCTCGCGTGAGTGAGATTTTTTCATTGTGCGTATGCAGTGTGGCCGTGATGAAAAGCAGAAAAAAAATATTCCCGGTTTATGATAGAGAGGTTTTGCGGAGCGAACGTTCGCAAAGATTTTCGCGTTCCGGGTTGCGAAAACTATTGCGAACGTTTGTGCGAAGTTTGTGTTTTGCATGTTTTTCACTCCAAGAAATTTTCGCGTGCCCTCGCTTGTTTGAGAAGTGGTCTTCATCCGATTATTTTGTTGTTGCGAATGGCGGCACCCTGAGTCACGGCCTGAGACAAGAGCTCTTTGACTACCTTGTCCATGGCCGGAGACCCTCAGACAAACGAGCTGGCTTGTGCCGTAATCTGGCGCATCAACACCTGAAATTCAAAAAGGCATCGTTGATGTAACCGACTCTGAGCAGTGAGAAGACGAGCAGGCAGGAGATCGGAGATGGTTCCGGAGATGAAGAAACACAGGCTGCCACAAGTATAGGAAAGCTAGCACCCGCGGACCAAGCCAAGAGTAGAGATCAAGCACAAACATGAAGATTGAGGGTGGCTCACCGTGCGATAACAGTCCACAAAGAGCGAAAATTACTGCGAACGTTTGCATGTTTCTCGCTCCAAGACATTTTTGTGTGCACTCACTTGTCCAAGTTTGGGAAGTGGTCTTCACCCGATTTGTTTGTTGCGAGTGGCGGCATGTGCACCAGGTACCCTGAGTCACGGCCTGAGATGAGAGCTCTTTGACTACGTTGTCCATGGCCGGAGACCCACAGACAAACGGGCCGGGTTGGCTTGTGCCGTAATCTTGCGCATCAACACCTGAGATTCAAAAAGGCATCATTGATGAAACCGACTCTGAGCAGTGAGAAGACGAGCAAGCAGGAGATCGGAGATGGTTCTGGAGATGAAGCAACACGGGCTGCCACAAGTATAGGAAAGCTAGCACCCGCGGACCAAGCCAAGAGTAGAGATCGAGCACAAACATGAAGATTGAGGGTGGCTCACCGTGCACCAGGCTGACCAGCGGTCCACAAAGAGCGAAAATTACTGCGAAAGTTTGTTTCGCGTTTCCTGCAACTTTCGCGTTCAAAACTGCGAACGTTTGCACGAAGTTTTGCTTTTCGTGACGTCAAACAAAAATTCGCGCGAACGTTCGCTCTGCAAAACCTCTCTATCCTGAGGATTGTACCCTCAATGCGACCGGCCCCTAACACAGAAGGCGCATGCTCTGTTCCCACCAAACTCTCACACGCTCACTGTTTTCTGAAGTCCACAATTCCTGATTTCAGTTCGTGCTGTGTGTGTGTGTGCATTGGCAATAGAATTCTTTCAAAAAAAGTCCGCTTTTTAGAGCGTATGTTGTCCAGCACTGACCAGCCCAAGCATTGCAAGTGCAAACAGTGCACTAGTCGCGGAGCAGGGCAACAAACAGTCCATGAGGGCAGTGTTGGTACCGCCGCGGTCAGTTTTTTTTTATTAGTCCCGGCCGTGCCATGACCTTTCACACGCTGTGCATGGTGTAATAGTGGCCGGTATGCGTAACCTTCTCAGTGTTCAGTTAGTGTCTGAGCTAGTGCTGACCCGAATTTGCTAGCAATTCTTCTAGCAAAATATCGAAGAATTTTGAAAGGGAATTTGCTGGCAAAATGGAGCAAAATATCGGTGTGTTGGCTGGGAATTGGGAGATTTTACACATATACGGTGCACATGACTCATTTCGGCACAATTTTACCAACACGTGACTCACTTTTTCTCATTTTTGCCAACACGTAACCCACTTTCGGTCAGTTTTCTCACACGTGACACAAATTTTGGAGCAAAAAGGGAGCAAAATATCGAGTGGCCTAGCAAAATGAAAGCAAAATTTCGACGATGCACGGGCAAAATTATGCCGCAAAATATCGAGATTCAGCTGGCAAATTCGGGTCAGCACTAGTCTGAGCCCTTTTAGCCCCGTACACATTTCCGTATGTGCTCCCGCCCATACACATGTGTTAGGTACCTCCTCCCGTACCCTTTCTAGCTGGCCTGCATGAACTCGCGTACTCACCTTTTGTCTCATTTTGTTCCGTTGGCCTGGGTAGCTACTTGCGCGCCCATAATTGCTATAGCTACCCAGGCCCTTTATCTTGCCGCTCAGACTTGATCTCTCTCTCTTTCTCACTCTTCAATAATCACCATGTAGTTGTTTCGTTCGTCCTGGTCTTAGTCATCCCGTCTCTAATAAATGTCGTTCTACCAACCTGCCTGTTCCCGTTGTAATGTCTGGATAATGTGTCGTCAGTCGTCCTTTTTCGTATTCAATTCATGTATATATCTACACAACTGCACTTCCCTGTACTCACACCCATTCATGCACTCCCTGCTGACCTTTTGCCTCGCTTACTGCACTACTGACCTCTATATTCCCGCTCACCCTGTTCCAGCTTACGCCCTTGCTGACCTTTTGCCTCGCTTGCTGCATGCACCCCTTTTCCCGCTCACCCTGCTCTCACTTACTGCATGCACCCCTTTTCTCTCCTTTGACGTTGTAAGATTAGATATACCCCCAACTCTGCCTTGTTGAATGAGTCTTCCAGAACTTCTTGGGTTAGCTTTCTTCTAGTCGTGCCCTGCTAGTCTTTACCCTTCTTCCTTCCTCTTCTTCGTCTGCCGGAGGTCTGACCTTTATTGCTAGTCTTGATAATAGAAGTACAGTTGAAACCGATGAGTTGTAGCCCCTGTAATTATGTGTGAGAGTCGACGGATCCACACACGCAACACCAGAATGATAATTATATTAAGTGGCAGTAGTACGTAGATATAATTATTATTGATTTGCTACATCAGCGGTAAACATGAGTTGGTGGTCGATGGGTTGGCATGGTGATGGTCTGACCAACCGGATCGAGCCTGGGTCTCTTCTGATCATAACTGTGCATGAATGCACCTTATACAAGCAAAGTAGGCTTTTAAAGTGACTTTTCAAAGTCCTCTCTGCGCACAAAGTGCTCAATGCCCGGAAGGGCAGAGCTTCCTGGCAAGTGAGGTGGAACAGAATTTTATTGCGACTCCGAGTTGCAATAGTTAGCAGAGTTGCATTCGTCATAATAATGTACACAAAAGAAGGGGAAGTATACCCTAAAATCAAATTTTCACCAGTTGTAGTCTTCGGGGTGCTGAGTCGAATGGTCTTGGTCCGAGGAAGCTGAGACGCTCCCTTCCTCCTTTATTCCCAATCGAACTCACGCACTTCCACCGAAACTGGGTGACTGCGCCCTACTAGATGGGTATTTGTATGCAAAATGTCACTAAAAGCGCTATTTCGTTCTTATAAAAGCACGGATGACCGCCATTGGCCCATATGTTGTAGTCTTTTGGACGCTGAGTCGACTGGTTTTGGTCCGAAAAGGCTGCGATGCAGCGTTCCTCCTTTATTCCAAATCGAACATGCTTGAACAAGCGGTCACGTGCTCCTGCGTACACCAGTCACCTGGTCACCGTGCCTGCAGGGTACAACTTACTAGCCTGTTTGACCTTTTTTGGGTGCAGTTCTGTCACTCGAGTTGAACTCGAGTTGAACCTTGAACCCCTCCCCCCCCCCCCCCCCCCCCACCACTACCACCACCACACACACACACACCACCACCACCACCACCACCACCACCACACACACACCACCACCACCACCACCACCACACACACAAGGCACATTGGCTGCCGAAGGTTTTCCACGCCTCATCATGAACTTGATTCTGCGCTGCTGTATGTGTTTGCCAACTGCAGGGCAGCAAGAAGGAGACCAAAACGTATTTGATGGTGAGCCCAGTAAGTGTTGCGGTTTGATTCTTTTGTTCTATTTCCACAATCCCTCAACCCAGCAAATCGTAAGAAACACAATACAGAGGACGGCGAAGAGTCTATAGATATAGGAGTGTGGACTTGATAGGGTGCGAAGTGCCCAGCTGACGAGTGCCTTAGCATCACAGGCATTCACAGAACACCATACACGCATGGAGTTGAAGCGTAAATAGACTGAGATCTACATATATATGCACTGTACTCCTTACTGACAGGGGAGTTGGCCTTTATCAATGCTTGTTTGAGAGTTTGAATCTCATTGTGAACCTGATGAGGGCAATTTGCCGAAGTGTTGCAATATTATAGAATGAGATGAACTATTGCAGTGTTAGTAATGGAGGAGAGCGTGTGGACTCTACTCTTAAATGTACTGTTCTGTTTGTGAAAGACTAGATGACTGAGAACTGACTCTAGCCAGTGGGCTAGAAGATTGAGGCATAACTTACCTGCATCATCTTATTCAACTGCTGTCGGTCAACTGGGTACTGGGAGTGAGGGTAACATGGATGCTGCTAACAAGGTTTTGTCAGACTTACCACCTCACCAGGGGCGGATCCAGGAGGGGTTCCAGGGGTTCCGCGGAACCCCCTAAATTTCGTAATGTGCTACTGGCAACCATATGCTTGTCCATGTACATGTATCAGCTATTCAGTTTTGACTATACTGGAACCCCCCTGTAGAGATCGCTGGATCCGCCGCTGCTCACCCTCGCCGCTAGGCACTACATCTGCCACCTTGGTATAGCAGGGATGGTCAAGGAACTGGTGGTGGCCTGACACAAGCCAAATGTCCTTAAGCTGCTTGTCTTCTTCCACATATAGTACAACCTGGTGTAAGCGACCACCTCCCCCCCCCCCCCCCACCCCACGGTGCAAGCAAAAGCCGTCGTTAAAGCCGGGTGGGCTTTAGAACCAGGTCCCACAGTGTCTGTGTAGAACTGTCGGTGCACAGAAAAACGATCGTTAAGAGCAGGTGGTCGTTAAACCCAGAGGTCACTTAGCCCAGGTTTTACTGTAATTGTATAGCCGGTGGTAATGGGAAAGTGGGAACTTTTCTTCTTCTTTTTTTTTTTATATCAGCCCTGTGCCAGGAACATCGTTTCTCCACAACCCTTCCTGCTGATGTACTGCCATCCATAGTGATGTTCATTGTGTGTGTGTGTGTGTGTGTGTGTACGTGTGTGTACGTGTGTGTGTGTGTACGTGTGTGTGTGTGTACGTGTGTGTGTGTGTGTGTACGTGTGTGAGTGTGTGTGTATGTGTGTGTATGTGTGTGTGTGTGTGTGTGTGTGTGTGTGTGTGTGTGTGTGTGTGTGTGTGTGTGTGTGTGTGTGTGTGTGTGTGTGTGTGTGTGTGTGTGTGTGTATGCATGTGCTTGGGTGCTTGGGTACATGTGTCTCTCTGCTGTGCTGACTTGCATGCAGATGGTGACCCGGACGCCTTGATCAACGTTGGTATCGCTATGGACGTAGTCGATCAAAAGCACGAAGCCGCAGCAGCTGCAGCATCGAACGACTAAAGGCCACTAGCGGAGTATTGCCAGGACCTACCGGGTATGTGCAAACGGACATCTGTATTGTGTATGTACAAGTATTGTATTATTTTTATTATTTTTTACTTGGACATTCCCAACAGACCCTAAGGTCTTCTTACAGGGTGCCCAAGATGAATGAACATGTTCACCCTTTACCGACGGAACACACTTTTACCGATCACCAGTGATCGATAAATACTATACTTTTCATTTATGATCAAACTATCGTAACTTGGTCAGTTCTCAGTTGTTTGGAGAGAACAAAGAAGAGAAAACTCTCAGCTGTCGTCTCGAACACCTTACGAAGCGATAGGACGAACGGTGAGTGAGTTACGACGCGCGTAACGTTCGTCACGCTCAATTGGCGCTCAGGGCCGTGATGCGTGACTGAACAGCCGGGATTTTCCCTGGTATTGATATTAAATATTGGTATTGATTTATTTGAATTCGGTATCTCAACAGTACAATGTCAATGTACAACCGTAAACTCGCCGGCTGTTGGCAAGGCTACACTCATTCAAATTCGAACAGGGGCCTTACAACCGGGGAAATACCGTGATAGGCATGGAAAAAACTAAAGATGCTTTTATTCTGTTTTGCTTGCTGTGCAGCCTGCTCAAATCTCACTGCAAGTGCTGCATGCAACAAGCCTGCGTAACCTTGGTAACTGTCGCCCTGATCACCCAGCAAGGCCAGCCAAGGCCAATGGACCGGGCTGCAAGCAGATCACTATTGACTTCTGTACTGTGCTCTAGACTAGCGTGACAATGCTGTAGTCCACCCCGGCACTGGCTTCTGTATATAACTCTGTAAGGTGTTCGCAAGGCACCAGCCATTATTATCACATGCTGCATTCGACCATAATAATGCACATTGAAATTTGTTTGCACTATGCCTGTGAAGCATGCATAACAGATTCTAAATCGTATTCTCTTTATTTTAAGTCGACAATGAGATGGTAAAAATGATAATTGGCTTGTGAGCAACACTGGCTCACACTCAATCACCGCTTTTCACTAATTCTTTTCAGGGAAAAAATCAACGTTTCGGTCATAAAATACCCATCAGGAATGAATTGGGCACAGTGGTTAGGATCGGTTAATAAATGAAACTACAAGTTACACTGCAATGTCCACTAACACCACCAGTTACTAAAAAAATCAGCTCATGCGATAACATTGCACGACACTGACCGACTGTACTGACGTTCTACAACTAACTGGCTAACAGCTCTAGCACATCTTGGATGCGCACTCCAACAGCCCCTCTTCCCCCTCCTTATGCGGGCCGGGCCTGCAAGTGCATTGAAGGGGAAGTTAAGCCTAAATCAAATTTTCACCGGTCGTAGTCTTCGGGGGTACTGAGTTGAATGATCTTGGTCCGTTCAGTCCTTTATTCCCAATCAAAGTTTCTAGGGACCGGCGGATTCTGCTCGAAAAGGTGGCAGATTCTGCTCGAAAAGCAGTGAAATTGGCAGAACCATACAAACCTTATGGCGGACAATTCCTCGAATTCTGCTCCATTTCTTCATCCACATACCAAACATGCATGAGACTTACCAGAAAAAGTACCGAATTCTGCCAATTTTTCTGCCGGCATAATCCGCCGGTCCCGAAATCAAACTCGCGCACTTCCACCAAAACTGCGCCCTACTACAGTGTTGTAGATGGGGATTTGTATGCAAAAAGTCACTAAAAGCCCCATTTCGTTCCGAAGTTATAAAAGCACGGATGACCGTGATTCACCGGGCTCATAGATGTACATGTATGTTGTAGTCCGCTTTCTGACGCTGAGTCGACTGGTTTTGGTCCGAGAAAGCTGCGATTCGTTCGGGACAGTTCGGTTGAAATTTTTGAAGTTGGGCATATTATGGATGTATTTTTGTCGGTAACTTGCGGCCCAGCACAAACATCTACCTGTATCGGGATCTGAAAATAATTGTATAAGGCTTACTGGGCCTCTTGCTCTTCAGGAAGGGTGAAAAGCTGCAGTGTTGATTTTTTTAATCACATTCTCATAAAACCGTAGGAAGACGGAGCACATACCCGCTATATGGTGTGAAACACCTTGGATTGAATAAAGCCGGTTGCTACACTGTGTACATGCACCCTAAGAATTGGGCCCGTGTTCTGGATACAGTCACACAGTTTTCCTGCAATTTTGGAAACTTCAAATAGTTTTGCCATGCATGAAGGAGAGTTTGCCGAAGGCTGCATTTGAATTTTCGGAAGGGGGTTAGCCAATAGAAGACCTTTTACCACGAGCTTTTTGGGGGTCCGAGGCATTTTATCGCTTTAGCGGGGAAAAACACGTTCAAAATTGCATATTTTATTTAGGCTTGCGACTCCAAGGAGATTGGTTATGCCTACTGAACTATCACTGTACAGGTACCGGCAAGAGTACGGGTGGGGGGGGGGGGGGTACTCTTGGTGCCGGTAATTGAAAGAAAGAAAAAAGTTGTCCAGAAATCTGAATGGGATTCGAACCCACAAACTTCGATCACGACAGAAAAAAATTAAAAAAGGTCGTCAAAAGTGGGGTTCGAACCGCAACCGTTGGTTGGTGGTGTGCGCATGTGTGGCTTGTGTTGTGTGACGTATCACCAGTGACTCACCATGTACCACTGTGACGTAAATAATTATACACTATTACACATAATACACTCTACAACTGATGTAAGGACTTCTTAGGTGATGTCATTCAAATGCGATGTCCAAACTCCAAAAAGTCAAAGAAAGCAAAGCAAATCGGCAATCCATTTTTCTTGAATGTTCAAGAAGGCGAAGCTAGCTAGCTCGAAAAGGACACTGTTTCCCTTTGGCTAAAGGAGTTATTGCTCTTTTCTACGTGGGACTTGTTGAAATCTGTGCACATCCTCGTTCGGAGCTTAGTTACGGAGTCCTGCGATCTCACAGATAGCAAACCGGCCAGTTGTGGAGGACTGCTTTTGTTGTCGTTATTCTGCGCTCTACTAGCTAATGACATAGTCATGGTGAGTCTTTATCTCACTTATAGGATAGGCTCTGGCCCTCGTGTGTAACATGTTTCCTTGCATTCATCTTGTCAGGCCAGTTAGTGTATTCAGTATGCTGTGATGTTGATCTCCAATACCAATGGTCGAAAGTTGTTGAACTGAACGAAACTATCGAGTGTGACGTTTGTAGGGTCATGGTGGGTGGCAGGATTTCGTTGGAAGACATGTTAGTGATGCCCTATTCCACAAAATATTTGTAATCAGGAATTTTAGCACAAGTTCCTTGACCCTCCTTTCTGCACCAGTGAGGCCAGCTACTAATACGACCTTTAATTTTATTTGGGTTGAGGCAAAGTAGCACCATCATTAGATCCTAGCAAGTTGGTCATACCAAGAGTACATAAACAAGAGTGTGCAACTCGCAGGTATTGTTGACGTTTTCTTTTCTACGACGCACACGCTGCGAGTTGTTGTTTGTTTATTTAGAGTCGAAGAACAAACAGGCAAATTTGCCTAATTACATGATATCGACTAAAAGAAGAATAAAGTATAAAGGAGTCTTTTGGGAAGTTTTGCCTGGTGCACTTGGTCGGGCTTTACATTACAAGGTCGGTGCCCAGCACGTGCTCTCACACTGCTCTGCGGCAAAATGCGGGTGCTCTGTAAAAAGGTGACGTCAACAATAATTTCCGCCACGGGCGGGGGTATCTGCAGATTGTGCAGGAGAGTTGCGGAGTTCCACATGCTTGTTTATCTGTCCCCGGGGAAAATTGCGATTCCGCGGCCGCGTTTTTTGCGATTTTTTAAAAGACCGCGTTTTCCGCGATTTTCCCGCGTTTTTTGAACTTTTTTGTTGCACTACACGTACACACAGTGCACTGTTCGGTCAGCAACGCCTCATCCGGTGGCGGCTTTTTACTCAAATATGACGAGTGCTTACACCAGAGACTTGTAACTGATTGATTTCACTACATACTCACTAAAAATTGCCGTGCATCAATATTATTCACCGCATATTTACCGCAAATTTTGCCATATTATGCCGCGTTTTTCCCCGCGTTTTTTGCGATTTTTTTCCGCAATTTTCCCCGGGGACAGGTTTATGTACTGTTGGTAATACATGTAGAGTATGCACAAGAGTACATGAAAAGCAGAGTGTGCAGCTTGGGGCCTTTTCTGCTATGGGTGTCTGTCACGGCGGAACCATATTTGGCGCAGATCTGAGGCGGGAAATGGCGTAGTGCGTACAACTGAGCTGCAGTTGTGCAGAAAGAGACCTGCTTGAATCCTGCTTGTACGCACTACATCACTAAAATGATGTAATCACGGAATTCCGCCGTGCCAGCAACCCATCCGAGCTGCACACTCTGGTTTTCATGTTCTCTTGGTGAAACCTGTCCGAACCGGACGCCCTTGGTGCTGCGGGCACTGTCCGAATATGACAGGATTCCGCTTGATCCAGGGGTGCATGTTTGATTCACAGCACTTTGGTGCATGGAAATCTCTCCGATCCATACAGGATTCCGCTTGGTGCAGGGTTCGGCAAACACAGGTTTCCCTCTACAGTAAAACCTGTGAATGCGACCACTCGGATAAGGCGACCACCTGTCCAAGAGGACCACTACAACTAGGACCAGGGGATGCTATTTCCAGTCAAACGACCCTGGATAAGGAGACCACCTGCACACAACGACCGCACTTTGAAGGTCCCTTGAGCGGTCGGTCGCCTTAGACAGGTTTCACTGTACACTGTAAGATCAGATATTTCAACGTCAATAAAAGTTAGCCATCTTCGGATTTTTGTTGGTTAGCGAGGTGAAATTCTAGCGAATTCTGTCTCAAAACCGGCAAATGACTACATGTCCATATTACCGTTCTGCACATAACGACTTCAAAATGTAAACGAATTTTTTTAAATTCGTTAAATTGGTTAGAATTAAATGTTCAAAGGATCAGTCAGGGAAGTGAACTTCTTGAAAATGGCCTGGCGTTTTGTTTTCTCTTTTCAGGCAGTTCACTTCCCTGGCTGATCCTTTGAATTTGAAGTTCTCCCAATCCTTTCGAAAATTAAATGTTCCTTAACATTACTAGTCTTACAGCATGTAATAGTAGAATACTATGTGCCCATAATAATAATAATAATAATAATAATAATAACACTTCAAGTAATTCGCGGGATTCGCGTTGGCATCGCCCGTGAATCACTGTAGTTTATCAGGTTTATAAGATTTTGTGGATGTATGCAGCGTGATGGTGTGTCGTTGCTTCGCCCTTTGGTCATGCTGCATGCAGCTTCACTCAATACTGCTGATCTGTTTTACACTTGCGAGGCTTACAATTGATTGGGGGGAGTGGGAGTTTTGAAGTGTGGTGTGCATGCATGCATGCGTATATGCAGTAACTGCTGCACTGCTGCAGCCTCGCTGTCCTGCCATGGTGCATAATGCCAGATACAGAAATTCTGACTGGTTTGTGTGTTTGTGTCTGTGTCTGTGTCTGTGTGTGTGTGTGTGTGGGGGGGGGGGGGGGTATGTGTGTGTATGTTCGTGTGGGTGTGTGGGTGTACGTGCACGCGTCACCGTATGGCAAGTGCAGTTTTCAAGCAGCGACTATGCGCCGGAAGGCTTTGCCGGTCTGCCAGGCATGCACGCGCGCGGTGGTCGCATGTTCAAAGCCCAGTACCGCTGCTACTCAGTCACCATGTTCACGGACAGGAAGGAGATTGAAGAGGGTGGAAAAAGTGAGTCTTGCCTGCAGAGCCACTGACGCTGTGCACATTTTGTGTTGCAAAAGAAGAATCCACGAGCGGGATTCGAACCCAGCACCCCTGTCTTTCCGGGACAGTGCCCTACCAATTAGGCTACCGGGGATCACACACACCCGTGGGTTCTTCTTGCTACTTTTGGTGGTGTGTTGTCTAGGGACATGCCTTGCACTACTACAGCAGGTACTCCAGTGTCCGTTGCTGTAGGACTTCAAACCAACCGGGTACGCGTGTACCTGGCATTACTATTCTTGCAGCCGGATCAGTCCTTGGTTACAGTGTACATTCAAGTGCGGCTATTGTACATCAGTGAGTCGTAGGACTCCCTGATTGAGTCCCAACCGCGCCACAATTGGCCATACCTAGCTCTGCACATAATATGTGGCGAGCTGCGTTTGTAGTGTTGAAAGCAATACACACAGCAGACACTAGGAGTCTGCTTGATGTGATAAACCATTATTTTTGGCTAGATAGAAAGTTTGTTGTTTGCTTTGTGGTGATCACCGCTTTCCGAAACATCTTGTATGCTCTGGGTAAACGTGGACTTCCGTACAGAAAGTTGCTCGATAATGTGGTCTATCTATTCGACGCACGAAGCAATTGAACGTGAGAATGAGGAAATGAACTTGTATGTTGTCTAGCACTGCACTCAGTGATGACCTCGGATAGAGCAGTATCGTGATGTAAGCTATGAAGTGGATCATTGGATCAAGCGCAAGAGCGACTGTAATGTGTGTGTGTGTGTGTGTGTGTGTGTGTGTGTGTGTGTGTGTGTGTGTGTGTGTGTGTGTGTGTGTGTGTGTGTGTCTGTCTGTCTGTGTTTGTGTGTGTGCACATGACATTTTCTTTTCTTTCTTTGCAGTTATCATGCCACCATCTGCTCTAGATCAGCTCAGTAAGTTTGGAATGATGAGGATAATTTGTGTGTGTGTGCGTGCGTGCGTGTGTGCGTGCGTGCGTGTGTGTGTGTGTGTGTGTGTGTGTGTGTGTGTGTGCATGTTCATTTGCCGAGTCTTATTGAACATTGAGCATGTTTCCCCCAGTGTCACGATTGTCAATGTGAGCATACATACGTTACATTATATACTTCCTTGTCCTTTCTTCTTCAGTATCGAATAAATAATACCGTATGACTACAAGAGATAACGGTGGGACTCCCATCCTCTTTCTTTCTTCTTTCTTGTGTGCGTGTTCCACATTGTAGCTCAGCTGAACACACAGTATCCGATGTTGTTCAAGCTGACGAATCCCGGCACTGCCAATACCACGTCACATTGCGGTGTGCTGGAGTTCATTGCAGACGAAGGCAAAGTGTTTATTCCATACTGGGTAAGCTGCTGCTGCTGCTGCTGCTGTTGTTGCTGCTGCTGATGCTGGTGCTGGTGCTGCTGCTGCTGCTGCTGTTGTCTTTGTTATGCTGCAGCTAAATGCTGTTCAATTTTTCATCATAGCCTAGGAGCTGTGGCGTTATTCATGATCCAAAGCAAGAAGGCAACAATGCCTGTACCTATTAAATGTGGTGAAGTAAACTAAAGGTAGCCATTGCTGCCTCCTTGGTGCTTACCCAAACCTGATGCTTGAGGTTTCAGGGGAGTAGCCTGGGGTGCCTTTGTTCAAGTAGACTGTGCATCTCAAGTAGCGTCCAATCCGCAGCACAACACGAGCAGTCCTTGAGCACACCACGCAGACCGAGCGTATCCAAACTTTCACCCACCTAGCAGGGCATCATGAGCTATACAGTGGTCTCACAGCTATTACATGACCATACAGGACAGCCATGTTGGTTACAACTCAACTTAACCCCCTGCATCTATGGGTCAAATGATGTCAGCCATGTTGGTTACAACTCCACTCAAACCCTGCATCTAAGGGTCACGTTATGTCGGCCATGTTGATTCCACTGTCCATACACACACACACACACACACACACACACACACACACACACACACACACACACACACACGCACACACCCTGCATCTATGGGTCACATGACGTCGGTGGCCATGTTGGTTCCACTGTCCACATGCCATGATCACTTTCTACACAAATAATTTAGTCACATGACAAACTGATGTGACAGCACCACTCTCTATAGGGGGAGGTACAACAATGGCTGATGTAAGACAGTACGGAGGACAGAATTCGCAATACAGCTATTGCTAGTGCTATGGCTGTTGCTGATATTGATGTTGATGCTGCTGTTGTTGCTGCTGCTGCTGTTGTTGTTGCTGGTGCTGCTGCTGCTGCTATTTATTGGTGGTGCTGCTGGTGCTGCTGCTATTGCTGCTGCCTCTGCTGCTATTTATTGGTGGTGGTGCTGCTATTGGTGGTGATGCTGATGTTGATGTTGATGTTGCTGCTGCTTACTTTTACAGATGATGCAGAATCTGTGTTTGGCAGAAGGAGATTTTCTGAATGTTGAGTCAGCTATTCTGCCACTGGGAAACTACGCTCAGGTCCAGCCGCAGTCCAAGGAGTTTCTGGACATCTACAATCCCAAAGCTGTGTATCCTTGTCAGCATTTCTGTGTGTGTGTGTGTGTGCGTGTGCGTGCGTGTGTGTGCAATAATAGCCAATTGGGTCGTCTTTCCAAGACTCCTTTTCAGTCGCACCCCATTCTCCCAGGGAGACCCACGTGACCAGTTTGGCAGTGAGCAAGTGCAAGTGTATGTGTGTTTGTGTGTGTATGGGGGGGGGGGGGGGGTGCTCGCACGCGTGTGTGTGTGTGTGTGTGTGTGTGTGTGTACGTATGTGTCTGTGAGGGTGGGTGGGTGGGTGTGTACGTGCGTGTGTGTGAGTGCATGATGTGTTTGTGCGTACGTGCGTGCGTGCGCATGAGTGCATGTGTGTGTGCTTTCTTGCGTGGGTATGTTCCTATTAGTCCAGGTGTAGTTGAGCCCATGCAGAATTCGGGATTCTAGGCACGCTGACTGGCTGGCTATTGGACAGCCAGTCGTCCATTAGAGTTGTCTATGTCAGTCTCCCTCTGGAAACATGTGTGATGCGTTGACAGTACAAGTAACTTGATACCCCGTACAAATACGTGAAGTACCATAAATGGCTTGTGCGAGGAGGAGCATTGCATCATATAATGACATCGGCTTGAAATTCTGTCGGGACAGCAGGTATACAGGACTTTCACACTCTGTGTGTGTGTGTGGGGGGGATGGGGGGGGGGGGGGGGGATGGGGGATGTACTCTCGCATGTACACTATGGAACACGCTTTGCTCCTCGCGTTCCTGTTTGTTTGCGTTCCGTCAGTGACTATTATCGAGTGCTCTGTTCCCCAGCACTCGTGTCTCTTTTCCCTTGACCCGCTGATCCCTGGCTGGCACCACTAGCTTGGAGGCATCACTACGCAAGCTCTCCTGTCTCTCCAAGGACGACATGCTCAAAATCGCCTACAACCAGAAGGTTAGTAGAGCTGATGCTGTTGCCACTGAACAACTACACAAGTACTCAATACTCATGCTTGACTCAGATGGTGGTAAAATGGATCTGGCTTTGGAAAATATATTTTTCATTGCTACCAGGTTCGGCCTCATTTCCTCTGCGCTGCGCTGATGAGTCCACGAAGGACGAAACAGTTCTGTCCACAGATTGAGTATGGTGGTAAATACACACCTGGCAATATGACGGTGGTGGTGCTGGTGGTGAGAAGGAGAGCTCTGTGCCAGAGTAACGTTGCAGTGTAGAGAGCGTTTGTGGGCAGGTGTGTATTTACCGCCATATTGCCAGGTGTGTATTTACCGCCATATTGTCAGGTGTGTATTTACCACCATATGTATCAACCATAAGTACAGCAGGGTGGTGGCGTCCCACGGAAGCGGAAAGGTGGTTCTTGACCAGGGAGTTGTACGACTCCTTGTTCTTGACCTGCCCGGTACGCGAACCTGTCGAATTTTTTTGAATTTTTTTATAAGTATAGCTACAGTGGAGTCTTCATCTGCAGTGCTGCTCAATGAAATCCGATCGAGTCACTCGAGTCCGCGCCGGACGTTGCGTAGCCCTGGAGGCTAGACCTGCGCAAACTGGGCAGTGAAATGGTGCAGGGCACTGTGCAGTCCTAGTAGTGGTGTGCACGGGTAGTCGGGTACCCGTGCTACCCGTGAGCACCTCGGGTAGACGGGTACAGGATAGTACCCGAAAACCCGAAGTCGCAGATGACATCATGTACAGTGCACGTGTAGAAATAGTTCACGTAAAACTCCGCATGTCTGCCGGCTGCCCAGTGTGTAAGGGTAGGGGTGCATTGTGGTGTTACCATGGAAACATTACCCGATCGGGTACCCGTGCTACACGTGGAAAACTACCCGGACCCGATACCCGAAGAAAATGCCATCCGACTCTGCCCTAAGTCCCAGACCTGTGAACACTGGGCAGTGAAATGGTGCGGGGCGCAAACTCGACTCACGTGACCGGATTCCATTGAGCAGCACCGTAGATACACTTCAGAGTTTGACGTAAACATACGCGTCATACACACAAACATACGCGTCATACACACAAACATACTCCCGTCATACACACAAACATACTCCCGTCATACACACAAACATACTCCCGTCATACATACAACCATACCCGTCATACACACAAACATACCCGTCATACACACAACCAGGGTTCTTGCCAAGTCAAAATTGTAGGGGGGTGGGCATGGGAAACAGTTACCCTATATCCCATTTTTCCACTTTCCAATATTGTCTTGCCACTCCAAATGCAACGTATGGGGCAAATCCCTGACTTCACCCCAGACAAATATGCCTTAATGAACCATCTATGCATGAAAAACACGAAAATCGGAAAATGAGTAGGGGGGGGGGGCAATTTTTCACAGGGGGGCGCGCAAACAGAGTAGGGGGGGGGGGGGGCAGCGCCCCCCCCTACCCCCCTTTGGCTAGAACCCTGCACAACCAAACCCGTCATACACACAAACATACCCGTCATACACACAAACGTACCCGTCATACACACAAACGTACCCGTCATACATACAACTAGGGCTGAGTCGGGTAGCATTTTCTTCGGGTATCGGGTCCGGGTAGTTTTCCACGGGTAGTTTTCCACGGGTACCCGATCGGGTAATGTTTCCATGGTAAGACCACAATGCACACCGGCCCCTTCCCTTGCGCATTGGGTAGACATGCGTGAATTATTTGTACACGTGCACTGTACATGATGTCATCTGCGACTTCGGGTTTCCGGGTACTATTCTGTACCCGTCTACCCGAGGTCCTCACGGGTAGCACGGGTACCCGACTACCCGTGCACACCACCACATACAACCAAGAGTACATAACCCCAAGAGTGTGCAACTCCAGCTATGGGGTCTGTGACGGCAGAACTTCACATCACGTGATGAACCCGTGCACTCTAGTGCATGATAGATACTGGGTTGTACGCAGCCCAGCTTTGGGTACAACTCTCTTGTGGTCACTTTGCACTGTTTGCCAGCATAACCTTTTGAACCATGTCACGTGATGTGAAGTTCTGCCGCCGCAGCACAGCATAGAGGTTGTGCAGGCAGTTGCACACTCTTGGGGTTATGTACTCTTGATACAACCATACCCGTCATGCACACAACCATACCCGTCATACACACAACCATACCCGTCATACGCACAACCATACCCGTCATACACACAACCATACGCGTCATCAAGAGTAGTTGTAGCTGCTGCCACTGAACAACTTGATAAATTTCAGGGTATGACCCAAACATACACGTCATAAATGAGCCTCCAGATCCGAAAATAATTTTTTCCACCAATTGTTTTTGGCCTGGTCCATCACCAACGAGCTCCTACTTCTTTTTGACTGACTGTCTGAGTTCTTTCTGTACTGTTCAGTGTCTGCCCTAGGATTTCAAACCAACCGGGTATACTCTTGTACCGGGCAGAACTATTCTTGCAACCGGGTCAGAGCCGGGTACTTTTAAGTGCGCCTACTGCATGACTTGTACATCAGGGAGTTGTAATAAATCTTTTAGGGCTCGCTGATGTACATGTACAGTGTATTCCTAACAGGGTCACAGGTGACCCGGTGTTCTTTTTCCAAACGGGTCCAAGTACTCCCCCCCCCCACAACCGGGTGGCTGACCCGGCTCTGGAGCAGACACTGCTGTAAACTGCTGTACTGTAAACTGTTAACTGCTGTACTGCTGTACTGCTGTACCGTTGTGCCGTGTTGTTGCAGGTCTACCAGTTCAGAGTGCTGAAGCTCAAGCCAGCGGATGCAGTCTCCATCATCGAGTGCGATCTGTCGGTGAGTTGCCTAGCCATTGGTGCACGGAGTAGTTATATGATAATCATGTGACAGATCACGTACAATATGCATTGGCACAATAAGCATACTAGTCACTTATTTAGTATTGCAACAAGAAGGACTAGCTGAGTTACTTACTTTATGTTAACCCTTTGCCGATGGAACATACTTTTATCGATCACCGGTGATCGATAAATTCTATACTTTTCAATTATGTTCAAACTATCGTAACTTGGTCAATTCTCAGTTGTTGTTTGGAGAGAACGAAGTATGTAGGGAGAAGAGAAAACTCTCAGCTGTCGTCTCGAACAATTTACGAAGCGATACGACGAACGGTGAGTGAGTTACGACGCGCGTAACGTCCGTCACGGTCAATTGGCGTTCAGGGCCGTGAATGCGTGACTGAACGGCCGGGATTTTCCCTGAACTCGTCGGCTGTTGGCAAGGATACACTCATTGAAATTCGAACAGGGGTTCCCGCGAGTGCCTACAAAAAAATTTCAGCTACATACGAGTAAGGAAAGTGAAATGGCGGATGGAGATCGATCTAGAGCGCGAGCTCCGCCCTGAAATGCCTTCGCTGGCTTGCAGCGCTGGTCCAGCGCATCTCGTGGACTCGAGTTTGGGCTCATCGTGTTCCTCTCGTCAGGGGCTTTCCAGAATGCCCAAGATTATGACAATTGTCCTAGGGAAACTAAAGTTACGTCCAATTCAAGGTAAAGAATTTGAGGGCACAATTCTCCACATACATTGAGCTCATTTGATTTTTCATATGAGCTATATGCGTGCTGTATTATTATTATTATTATTATTGAGTTTAGTACATAACGGGTTATAAAGTAAGTAACTCAGCTAGTCCTCCTTGTTGCAAACAATGTCCAGCAATGGATATGATGCTAAAACAATATTCAGTTGCGCTCACTGAAATCAGACCCAACGTGCAAAGCAGTACCCGGTCCCGGACCACCCGGATAAACGAGGTATGGGTGTACTGTTGTCAACTCTCTATGTGTATCCATGGTCCATGGCGTGTGCTGCAGGTGGACTTTGCCCCGTACGTCGGTCATGAAGAGGACGAACGGCAGCAGCAGGCCGAGAGGCAGAAACGAGTGCACCCGCTGGTAGGTACATATGCACATGTGCACGCACTCGTTTCATGCGCACAGCTCTGTAGAAACTATTGTATGCCATTGATGGTCAAAGAGTAGTACCCCTCTGTCTGTGTGGTGTGTAGACGTTGTTTCTGTGCTCCATTCAGCGGTGTGTATGATGGTGGCGTGTTGTTCTACAGTTCGACTGTGTGTATGTGTGTGTGTGTGTGTGTGTGTGTGTGTGTGTGTGTGTGTGTGTGTGTGTGTGTGTGTGTGCGTGCGTGTGCGTGGTTGGGTACGTGCGTGTGTGTGTGTGTGTGGTGTGTATGTGTGTGTGTGTATGGACAGTAAAATTCCCCAGATCCGGACGTTCGTAATCCGGACACGTCCGTATACCAGGCACCTTTCTGATCCATGTATAGTGCAAGAATGGCTTTTCAACGAAAACGGCCCCAAAAACTGTTGATTGCCATAAAAACTTAGTTGTACTTGCAATGCAGTAAGTATGTCTGTTCTGAGTTACAGGCAATTGCTAGCTATGGGCAGTGCTTGGTCCCAACCTGCCTGGATCTGGGCAGTGCTTGGTCCCAACCTGCCTGGATCTGGGCAGTGCTTGGTCCCAACCTGCCTGGATCTGGGCAGTGCTTGGTCCCAACCTGCCTGGATCTGGGCAGTGCTTGGTCCCAACCTGCCTGGATCTGGGCAGTGCTTGGTCCCAACCTGCCTGGATCTGGGCAGTGCTTGGTCCCAACCTGCCTGGATCTGGGCAGTGCTTGGTCCCAACCTGCCTGGATCTGGGCAGTGCTTGGTCCCAACCTGCCTGGATCTGGGCAGTGCTTGGTCCCAACCTGCCTGGATCTGGGCAGTGCTTGGTCCCAACCTGCCTGGATCTGGGCAGTGCTTGGTCCCAACCTGCCTGGATCTGGGCAGTGCTTGGTCCCAACCTGCCTGGATCTGGGCAGTGCTTGGTCCCAACCTGCCTGGATCTGGGCAGTGCTTGGTCCCAACCTGCCTGGATCTGGGCAGTGCTTGGTCCCAACCTGCCTGGATCTGGGCAGTGCTTGGTCCCAACCTGCCTGGATCTGGCCAGTGCTTGGTCCCAACCTGCCTGGATCTGGGCAGTGCTTGGTCCCAACCTGCCTGGATCTGGCCAGTGCTTGGTCCCAACCTGCCTGGATCTGGGCAGTGCTTGGTCCCAACCTGCCTGGATCTGGGCAGTGCTTGGTCCCAACCTGCCTGGATCTGGGCAGTGCTTGGTCCCAACCTGCCTGGATCTGGGCAGTGCTTGGTCCCAACCTGCCTGGATCTGGGCAGTGCTTGGTCCCAACCTGCCTGGATCTGGGCAGTGCTTGGTCCCAACCTGCCTGGATCTGGGCAGTGCTTGGTCCCAACCTGCCTGGATCTGGGCAGTGCTTGGTCCCAACCTGCCTGGATCTGGGCAGTGCTTGGTCCCAACCTGCCTGGATCTGGCCAGTGCTTGGTCCCAACCTGCCTGGATCTGGGCAGTGCTTGGTCCCAACCTGCCTGGATCTGGCCAGTGCTTGGTCCCAACCTGCCTGGATCTGGGCAGTGCTTGGTCCCAACCTGCCTGGATCTGGGCAGTGCTTGGTCCCAACCTGCCTGGATCTGGGCAGTGCTTGGTCCCAACCTGCCTGGATATGGGCAGTGCTTGGTCCCAACCTGCCTGGATCTGGGCAGTGCTTGGTCCCAACCTGCCTGGATCTGGGCAGTGCTTGGTCCCAACCTGCCTGGATCTGGGCAGTGCTTGGTCCCAACCTGCCCGGATCTGGGCAGTGCTTGGTCCCAACCTGCCTGGATCTGGGCAGTGCTTGGTCCCAACCTGCCTGGATCTGGGCAGTGCTTGGTCCCAACCTGCCTGGATCTGGGCAGTGCTTGGTCCCAACCTGCCTGGATCTGGGCAGTGCTTGGTCCCAACCTGCCTGGATCTGGGCAGTGCTTGGTCCCAACCTGCCTGGATCTGGCCAGTGCTTGGTCCCAACCTGCCTGGATCTGGGCAGTGCTTGGTCCCAACCTGCCTGGATCTGGGCAGTGCTTGGTCCCAACCTGCCTGGATCTGGCCAGTGCTTGGTCCCAACCTGCCTGGATCTGGGCAGTGCTTGGTCCCAACCTGCCTGGATCTGGGCAGTTTTACTGTACGAGGTGATTCGCAATTTTTGGACATGTCGCAATTTTTGGACAAATCAGTTAAATATGGAAGTAGAGTCCTCCTGAGTCGTTGTCCTTTCCTTGGTGGACAAATCTTTGACAAGTGTGTCTTCGTGTGGTCCTCAAGTTTCTTCGGGCCAATTTTTAGCGGCGAAGGCCGTTTCTTTCTGGGCGTTTTCTTTATTATTCTTAGGTAATGTAATGAGTAATTTTGAAAATTTCGATTAAATAATAAATGATTGAGGATTCCGTTGACTCTACGTCGCATAACGGAGAGAATGTCGACATGGGGGATGTTGTATCCCTTCCATCAACTCCAGGGACTACGTCTTCCAGCTCGAATCCGCCTGGAAGAGTCTCCTCGCCTTCTCAACCGGTGCGTTTGTGGAGGGGTTCTGGTCAGGAGAAATCTCTTTTAGCAGTGCGAGCGTGCCACTCACCTGGCACCAGTGAACACTTCCTAACCAAGAAGGACGCAGCGGCTAGTTACGGCGCTAGCCCTCCACTCTTTGCGAAATATGAGAAGGAGATGGGCCACACTGGAGTGCTCTCCTCTGTTCTTGAATATGACGTCCATGAAAACCCTTGAGTGACCCTTTAAATTGTGTGTCACATTGAAAAGCCTTGAAAAGCTTGCTATGAACGGCCTGTCATTAGAACTCATATCAGCCGGTCTCATAGGCATAGCCTTACCCCATTTTCATGTCCTGTGCAAGTTTTACTTGTTCACACCATTGCAGACTGCTGCTAGATGCTATTTAATTTAGTTGTCCAATAATTGCTCGCATTGAAAAAGCAGTAGAAAAAGACACCTTCGATCAGGTCAAGTTGTGGTCGCATGCTTCAACTCTATGCCTTCAGGTGTGTGTGGTGGTGGTAAAGCATAAGTGTGCCAGTAGAAAAGCAAGAAAGAAATTTAATGTATCTTACAAACCAACATAATGGGGTGCTATTTAATTTGAGTGTCCAAAAAATTGACCTCGTACTACAATATTCTCGAGTTGCTGAAAGCGGAGTCCTCCGCTTCGAAACTTTTTACTACACGAGTCACAGAATGCCATGCATCGGGTTAAGTTGTAACTAACTTGTGTATTGTCCATTGCTCTCTGTTCTCTCTGTTCTCTCTGTTCTCTGTATGTCTTCAGGAGCAAGCCGCTGAACAGCTACGCATCTCCGAGGAGAAGAGAATAGAGAAAGCCGTCCGGGAGGCTGTGGAGCAAAGTGGCGGGTTCAAGGTGAGCATGAGTTTGCGCTGCAGGCAACAGTCTGGGAAGGGGGGGGGGGTGTGGTGTATGGGGGGGGGGGGTGTGGTAGGGAAGTTACAATACAGACAACAGTCTGGGAAGGGGGAGTATGGGGTAGGGTGCATTCTTGACGTCACAATCAGAGCAGTGTTCAGAAAGACATCAGCATTCTCCAGTGCCTACTGGTCTTGGTCTTCTCCTACCTTCTCTTCTTACGTGTGTATTATCAAGAGTACATGAAAACTAGAGTGTGCAGCTCTGATGGGTTGCTTTCACGGCGAAATTCCGTGATTACATCATTTTACTTCAAAAAAGAAGTAGTGGTGTAGTGCGTACAAGCAGGATTCAAGCAGGTCTCTTTCTGCACAACTGCCGCTCAGTTGTACGCACTACGCCACTTACTGCCTCAGACCTGCACCAAATATGACGTAATCCCAGAATTCCGCCATGACAGACACCCATGTAGAAAAAGCCGGAAGCTGCTGCGCACTCTGGGTTTCATGTAGTCTTGATATTGTCCATGTGTGCCTACTTTCACCTGTACAGCATAGCAATGTCCATGTATGCCTACTTTCACCTGTACAGCATAGCAATGTCCATGTATGCCTACTTTCACCTGTACAGCATAGCAATGTCCATGTATGCCTACTCTACTTTCACCTGTACAGCATAGCAATGTCCATGTATGCCTACTTTCACCTGTACAGCATAGCAATGTCCATGTATGCCTACTTTCACCTGTACAGCATAGCAATGTCCATGTATGCCTACTCTACTTTCACCTGTACAGCATAGCAATGTCCATGTATGCCTACTTTCACCTGTACAGCATAGCAATGTCCATGTATGCCTACTTTCACCTGTACAGCATAGCAATGTCCATGTATGCCTACTTTCACCTGTACAGCATAGCAATGTCCATGTATGCCTACTTTCACCTGTACAGCATAGCAATGTCCATGTATGCCTACTTTCACCTGTACAGCATAGCAATGTCCATGTATGCCTACTTTCACCTGTACAGCATAGCAATGTCCATGTATGCCTACTTTCACCTGTACAGCATAGCAATGTCCATGTATGCCTACTTTCACCTGTACAGCATAGCAATGTCCATGTATGCCTACTTTCACCTGTACAGCATAGCAATGTCCATGTATGCCTACTTTCACCTGTACAGCATAGCAATGTCCATGTATGCCTACTTTCACCTGTACAGCATAGCAATGTCCATGTATGCCTACTTTCACCTGTACAGCATAGCAATGTCCATGTATGCCTACTTTCACCTGTACAGCATAGCAATGTCCATGTATGCCTACTTTCACCTGTACAGCATAGCAATGTCCATGTATGCCTACTTTCACCTGTACAGCATAGCAATGTCCATGTATGCCTACTTTCACCTGTACAGCATAGCAATGTCCATGTATGCCTACTTTCACCTGTACAGCATAGCAATGTCCATGTATGCCTACTTTCACCTGTACAGCATAGCAATGTCCATGTATGCCTACTTTCACCTGTACAGCATAGCAATGTCCATGTATGCCTACTTTCACCTGTACAGCATAGCATTGTCCATGTATGCCTACTTTCACCTGTACAGCATAGCAATGTCCATGTATGCCTACTTTCACCTGTACAGCATAGCAATGTCCATGTATGCCTACTTTCACCTGTACAGCATAGCAATGTCCATGTATGCCTACTTTCACCTGTACAGCATAGCAATGTCCATGTATGCCTACTTTCACCTGTACAGCATAGCAATGTCCATGTATGCCTACTTTCACCTGTACAGCATAGCAATGTCCATGTATGCCTACTTTCACCTGTACAGCATAGCAATGTCCATGTATGCCTACTTTCACCTGTACAGCATAGCAATGTCCATGTATGCCTACTTTCACCTGTACAGCATAGCAATGTCCATGTATGCCTACTTTCACCTGTACAGCATAGCAATGTCCATGTATGCCTACTTTCACCTGTACAGCATAGCAATGTCCATGTATGCCTACTTTCACCTGTACAGCATAGCAATGTCCATGTATGCCTACTTTCACCTATACAGCATAGCAATGCACACGCTACTGTACTTTATTTGCAATACATGAACTGATGAAGCGGCATTTTGCCTAGCTCATTTTGCATGTTATTAGAACTGATCGGCTACATCATTGTATTGCAAACACGTTTCCATCAGTTCTAATAACATGCACGATGAGCTAAGCAAAAAAGCATAGCGTAGGGCCCTGAGCTTCCAAGCTCTCTCGTTTGAAGACCTGTTGTATGGGCAATCCTCGACCGTAACCCTGCTAGTAGCTGGTTTTACAATCACTCGGTAATACAAGAGAGAACACCTAGGTATGGGCAGTGTATCGTAGACAGTTTCCCTTTCTTGCTCGCTTGCACCGTTCTCGATACGCAGTGGCAGAGGTTTTGTCTCGGCTGAATGCGAATGATCAGACCGATGAATGCGTTGCGTGTGGATCTCGGAGTAGCACCACGTCTCTCTGGCTCCTGTGTGTATGTACAGTGTGATGAGAATTAACAAGTTTCTCTGGCTCCTGTGTATATGTATGTGGAGTGGGATGAGAATTGACAAATCTCTCTGGCTCCTGTATGTATGTATGTGGAGTGGGATGAGAATAGCACGCTGCACACAGTACACACAGTACTACAAAGGCCACAGTGCTGGCGGGCACCGAAGAACGTAGTGCCGGGGAAACAGACAGGCTGGGATTTCACCAAGCCCAGCATAGGGGGTGCCAAGAAACAAAGCAAAACAATAAAATTCACGGTTCGCGTGAGAGCCGAGTGTGCCGCAACCGCAGGTACGCCACCGCCCTCTTGGGGGTGCCAAGGCGAGATGATATTAACAATTGTACTGCATTGCACTGCATTGCACTGTTTTGTGTTTGTCTATTCTTGTATTAGGTATTTCATGGTGCTGGTAACGTCTTGGATGCCGGCGGTAGAGGGGCAAAGAAAGGTCGGAAGCGTGGCAAGGCAGCAGCTGGTTCTGGTGGTGCATCGTCAGCTCCCAACGGGGCAAGTACCGACGGTGCCGCTGAGAATATGGACTCCGCCGAGCCCAGAACGTGAGTTTTACGCTTGTGTGTGCGTGTTGGGGGGGGGGGGGGGTGTATGTGTATGTGTGTGTGTGTGTCTGCGTGTTCGTGTGTGTGTGTCTGCGCGTGTGCGTGTGTGAAATAATGGAAAAATGAAAAATAGGGATTCACTGGCCAGAAAAAGCCACTTCAATCAGCTGTGTGGTAGATACCAGGCTAAACATAGTGGCGGTCAATTCATCAGCCTTGCAAGCTGTTGAATGGTGTAATCCCAGCACAAGTTGCTATGTCTAACATAGCTGTTCGCTATCATCGCTTACACGATGGGCAGGTCTGAGGTTTGTGTGTGTATGTGTGTGTGGGTGTGGGTGTGGGTGTGGGTGGGTGTGTGTGTATCTCTCGGAAGTTCACACGTCTCCAGTACCTGGCTCAACACAAATGCAAGAAGTAACTCTGCCCTCCTTGCCTCTTTGAGGCACTGCATCACCTTTAGGTGGCAGTTTCAAGGTTTCAAGGTGTGTGTATGTGTTTGTACATGTGAGTGCACGTGTGTGTGTGAGCCGGGGGGGGGGGGGGGGGGGGGTGATGGCTGTTTGTCTTTCTTTGAAGCTGCCCCTCATCATATGCTCGCTTGGTTGGCGTGGATGTGGCCCAGCAGGGCAGCTGTTGGACCTGGTGCTGTGTTTTGATGAAGAACACTTTAGTTTTGTGTAAGATTCGTGAATTCCGGCACGATGATTGTGCCGTCGGTCAGCGCTTTCACAGACCAGCTCCCCCACCGCCATGGTTGAATTGGCCCGTTGCTGCCAGGGTGTTCACACAGTTTCCCGGCCAAAAGCCATGCTCCGCCGTAAAGCCATGCTCCGCCGTAAAGCCATGCTCCGCCGTAAAGCCATGCTCCGCCGTAAAGCCAACCTCCTAGCTTCTTTACTTCTAGCTCATTACTGTGCTTTTTTTCTATTGTTGTTGCTGCTTGCTGTCCTCCAGACGTGGTGTGCCGAATTATAACTATGTGAAGGGAACGCTGACGTTTGCGCGTGTCTTCCCGAAGAAGCAAGACCTGGACAAGGTACAGAACAGTAGAGAATTATGATTCTGACAAGAAAACGTTCTGGACATGAAACTTCTTTGGTTGCAGTGTTTGTGATAATGAGTGCGCCGTTGATATTATTCATCGCCAAACTATTACTAGCGCACCGATAGATACTTTCCTGGGTTCTGCATCAGCAGTTGACTCGGTATGCTCGATCTGCGGACAGAACTGTTTTGTTCTTTGTGGACTCATCAGCGCAGCACGGAGAAAATGAGGCCGAAGCTGATAGCAAGGGGAAATAAATTTCCCGAAAGCCAGATTTATACCGGGCCGGAACGTGCCTTGCCAGAGCTGTACTCAAACTGACAAGTCAGTGAGCTCTGTTCACTACAGTACAGTCGGTCGCCGAAGAACTGGGGGGGGTCAGGGTTCTAGCCTAGCCTGTTCTTATTCTTAACAAACACAGCAGTTTCATTCTTATTCGATGGTACAGTCTTACATGTACTTGAAGTACATGTAAGCAGAGTTCTACGTCTGAGTGTACTTGACAAGTACATGATAGTGTATGTAACGGGTTCCGTTTTTATGTGCGAAAATTCCAGCCTACACCAGACCATCTGGTAAAAGGAGAGCGATCGCTCTCGCGCGCCTTCGCTCTCCTTATTTTCATTTTGGGCGCACTTTTCGTCGCGCGCCTTGAGAATTTCGAGCGTATCCGCATCACTATGAAGTCCATTCTGCAAACACTCAAATCTTTCGTAACTCGGCTTTCCCTGCGCGGAATTGAGTAATCGAAAGGTCTATTCGCATTAGAAAGTTCTCAGCGGTCGGCTCCAACAAATCTGAAGTCGTTCCGAGGTCGAATAGTGGAGTTACGGCACTCGCGAGGTATTTTACGTCCCGTAGCAAATTTTCACTTGCGCACTTGGGTGGCAATCATAATTTTGACATAAAGGATTTCTCTCTGTTGCGTTGCAGTCCGGGCATGCATTGACCTGTGTGACGTCAGGCACAGGTCTTTAGCGGTTAGCTACAAAAGAAAGGAGCGCTCTAAGATGAATACTACAAAAAACTATGGATCTTAGCGAATTGTCTCAATTTTCCGTTGCGCGTGTCTTCCCAGCTCCCTAGGCTATTGCCACTGCAGTAACACTCCAGTTGGTGAAAATCCCACTGGTGTGTTCCTCTTGCCAATAGCTTTCCAGAATGCTTGGGATTCATTGTTAAAATTGATGAAGGGAAACTGAAGTTGTGGTCCGAGCAGCTTCCATTTGCAGTGCGTACGGCGATTTTCCAGAACGAATTTGGCAGCTATTGGGTATTGAATCCGATTGGAGTACGGCAAGATATTAAAAAAACCGTATTGTGCTCGCCTTGGATAGATAAGACGAGCAATTGTTTGGGGGGGGGGGGGGGAGTTGTGGTGGTGGGGACTGCTCTCCCACCACTCTCCTTGAGAGGATAGCGAGAGTGATAGTTCACTCTCCTGGATTTTTCTTACACGAAGGTCTGCTACACCGTTCTTGAAAATTGGTGAAATTCTAGCCTGGCCGTTCTTCGGTGGTCCGTTCAACGGCGGTTCGTTCTTCGGCGCCCGACGGTACTGTACATAGTACAGTGTATGTCAAACACTGCTTCTACTGTGTATCTACTTACTGTACAACGGGCAACCTTTGCCATCTGGAAGCTTTCCAGATTTCCGCGATGGTTGTGAAAGAGAGAGATTGCAAATTATGCCAGCGCCAAGCATAGACTTGTAGTATTTTTTTTATAAAAAACGGTTGAAATTGGTCTGTTCTTGGATATACGAATAACAAGTAAAGTAAAACCTGTGACTAACGACCACCCCTTGGTGCCGGAGAAAGTGGTCTTTAGTCGCAGGTGGTCCTTAGTTAGAGGTTTGCACCGCACAACCATACATTATAACGTATATGAATGCGAGACCGTCCGTTCCTAGCGAAGTGGTCTGTAGTACCAGGCTGGTCGCTAGTCACGGTGGTCTTTAGTTCCAGGTTTTACCCTAGTTGAATGCGATGATTGACCCGCTTACTATTGTCTTCCTGCTCTCTTGTCTCCCTCGTCTTCCTCGTCTGTTCTTAGGAGGAGGATGCCTCATTCAATGCATTCGGTGGCTCCGGACATTGCCTGCGCAAGAGGAGACGGTAGTCAGGGCAACTGGGCCTTTATGGGGATCGTGCGACGCCGTGCTCGTAGGAGATGATCTATGCATGTGTGTGTATGTGTGTCGGTCGGTGTATGCGGCTGTGTGTATCGGTGTGTATGTGTGTGTCTGTGTGTATGCCGGTGTGGCTGTATGTGTGTGTGTATGTGTGTGTGTGTGTGTGTGTGTGTGTGTGTGTGTGTGTGTGTGTGTGTGTGTGTGTGTGTGTGTGTGTGTGTGTGTGTGTGTGTATCGGTGTGGCTGTGTGTGAAGTGATACCTTACCGCCAGTCAGTAAACGTTTCGTCGTGTTGCTTTTGTAACTATTGCTCACCACCTCTGGACACACTGCGTTTGCTGACATCCTCCGTCCTTGCTTAGTTTATCTCAGCGCTGGTGTGCATGGCTCAACATCTACTGCTGACTTCACTTCTCTGATACTCTTTTCGTCTTCACCTCTTGCGATTGGTGTTCGATACTCCCCGTCACCAGTGGGTGAGGTGCAGAGGTTGTTGAGTTGTCGCGCCGCCCCACAGGCTCGCTGTAAGACCCTTGCTGCATTTATTTATTCCGTGTGCGAAAATCGTATTCAGCTTTATGCAGTGGCGCGTCTTCACGGTTGCCTACCTCACACAGTGTTAGCTTGTGCTCATGCTTGCATCCCAGTGCGTTTGTGCACCGCGTCGTTGTACTCTGCTCTTGTTGGCGCGGGTTCTGTGATGTGTAGTCTCTGTGCGTTGTCGCCATGCTCTGTTGTTCAGTAATATCCTCATGCTGCACTGTGTGTGCTGATGCCCGGGAGCTAGGTGTCACCGTCTGCACGCTGGTGGGTGCTGGTTCAGTATTACCCTGGTCGTTAACCATGCGCTGTGTGTGTGTGCGCGCGTGCGCGCGCGTGTGTGTGCACGAGAGCCTTGGCTTATACCAGAGCCTTCTATAGCTGGTCTGCACGTGCTGTGCTTGCTTCCCTATCTTTAACCGCTGTAGCTACGCAAAGAAACCGCCATTCCGCTTTAATACTCCTGGAAAAAGCTCTGTTCCCGTCTTTTTTTTAAATAGTTCTGTGCTCTTGCTGTGTGTACAGAGAGCAGTGTACCACGAGCACACGATCGCATTCTTCTGGCTGGTGTTTTAACTAGCTATTTCTTCCGCTCCGCTCCACTTGCTGTCCGCCGCCATTCGCTTGTATATATACTCAGTAACTGTATAGTGTACATGTAGTGTCAGCCTGTTGCTCGGTGGGTACTGCTCCCATGCTGATGTATATACACACATAGCATGTGCTGCTGAGCTAAGCAAGGAGTCTTTCTTTCTCTCGCTCGTCGTGTCCATGGCAATGCACACAGGCACGCATGTGTTCAAGCAGACCTTTTTAACCGCGTATCACAGCATACTTTGTGATTCAGCGTAGATCCCAAGCCGTCAACCGTAGTCTGCTATCTCCTTCTTTTCTGGTGTTTATGTGGGATTTTGTTTACCTGCTTGTTCTGCTCATTGTACATAGTGATTGAGTGAACGTGCTCCCCCCCCCCCCCCCCCCCCCCCCGAAGAGTCATTATTTTTCTACTACCCATCTGCCTGTATGTTCATTTCTGCATCATAAAATCATATTAACAGGACGGGGTCCTGATATTATCATGACTTCATACTGGCTAATCATTCTGAGAGGGGCAGGTCACAGTTTCTGAGCTATCTCTATATCTCTAGTCTGTGTTGTGTGTGGTTGTTTTCTCTCATTGCCTGGTCTGGTGATGGCTGGAAGAACTGTGCTAATTGAAAGCAGCCAATAGTAATAACACATCTGCATTTTGCGTTTATGCCTGGTCCGATGTGATCGTGTGTGTGTATGTGTGTGTGCGCGCGCATGCGCGCGTGTGTGTGTGTGTGTGTGTGTGTGTGTGTGTGTGTGTGTGTGTGTGTGTGTGTGTGTGTGTGTGTGTGCATGCACGTGTGTGTGTGGCCATGCGTGTGTGGATGCGTGTGTGTGTATGCATGTGCATGCATGCGCGTAGTGTACTTTGTGCTCCCATGGATGGCATGTGTCGCCTCCGAGGAAGTACGCACATGCTCGGGCTGCTCCAGCTCAGGTCTAAAGCTGAAATAGCTTGTGAAGGTTACCATGGCTACAGTTGTACCCGTGCATGTGTAGGTTACCTTGGTTACAGGGGTACCCGTGCATGTGTAGGTTACCTTGGTTACAGGGGTACCAGTGCACGTGCATGTACTAGAAATACCCGCGGACGTCTCTGCTCCCTGTGCGAGTTTAAATTTTTGATTTTTTTACGAAATCCATGTACTAGTATCTCCAGAGTGTGGTGGGGCGTTTTTCCGAGTATTCAGGAAATCGTGATTCCACCGATGCAACAAATTTCGCGATCTGAAAATCCGCTCCCGCGTTTTTGTTGTTTTCTGCACTTCTTATTCACATCTCACGCAGTATACAGTGCTTTCAATGATCCTGTTTGTACATGTACATGTAGGTAATTTGCACAGAACGCAAACAGCGATTCTTAGGATGCAACAAATTTCGCGATTTGGCCCAAATCCGCAATATTCTGCAAATAATTCCTCGAGTTCCTGGCAAGTTACGAATCTTTCCACATTTTTTGCCGCAATTCCTTGCGCAAGTTTTGGAGAATTTTTCGCAAATTTCCACAGGGACAGATTCAGGTAGGCACCGGCGGATATCCGGATTATGCCGGCAGAAAAATTGGCAGAATTCGGTACTTTTTCTGGTAAGTTTCATGCATGTTTGGTATGTGGATAAAGAAATGGAGCAGAATTCGACGAATTGCCCGCCATAAGGTTTGTATGGTTCTGCCAATTTCACTGCTTTTCGAGCAGACTCTGCCACCTTTCGAGCATTATCCGCCGCTGCCTAGAGCCAGGTGCTTCGAAACGAAACGTTGAGAGGATGATTCACATCAAGAATACCCGGTCATTGGTGTCTGGTTCAGAATCTACGGCTTTGCCCTTTTCGGTCTAGGCGCACTTATTTATTTATTTATTACAGCATCTCATAGCACAGTGAGAACACCGGCCAATACAAAGAGAGAGGGTGTTAGCCAACCACGTTGTGTGACACCATGGTGTACAGTGTATGTGCTGTTGGTGACACATGTTGCAAAGATGATTCATTAGGTCATTAAGCTGCATGGTGAACTGTAAAAACCATTATTCTAACGAGGCGCTTATGATGATATTATTATAACGATTTCCCAAAATGAACTGTTTTACGCGTACCAAAGGTAACGATTCTCACTCATTCTCAACCCTCAATAGAACAGTATTATTATGTTATCATTATGGCTTTTACAGCAGATCAATGAATTTAAAACTCCAGGGTGTCCATGCATGTTTTGAATTGTTTTCTGCCATATTTGTCAGGGAAATTCCCACTACCCAGTCCACTTGAATCCTTCCAGAAACAGCAGAACTCGTTTTGGCAACTGCATGTCTGAACTGCTCAAGCACAACAATACTAAATTCTCCTCGCGTTGCATTGCGTCGTGTGAAGAAGGATGCGCCAATGGTACCAAGATTAAAACACGCTCCCCCCGAGAGCTTATCTACCGGTCCCCATAGGTCCGGAAAGGCCCAATCGCCGCAGCATGTACCGTATTTTCCCAGAGTATTATTAAAAGCCGTATATTTTGAACACTCAAAATTCACCAACAAATGAGGGTGCGGCTTATACATGTGCAAGCACTCCGACCAAAATAAGTTTAAATAATGGGTATTCAGATGTTGTACGTTTGCGGCTGCACACACATGTACACAATCATGCTTACGTACAATCGATTACGGCGGTGTTGGTTTTCTGGCAGCTTGTGGAATACATGATCCAGTACGGATTGTTTCTAATTAAGAACGTACTATAAGAACGCAGCCAGATTGCGGAAAAATATGAACGTCCCAGGCTTTACTCCTTGGAAACAACGTTCTTGGGCACGCGACTCTGCTCTACCGGTACATTTACTCTGTTCTGATCCAGTACAGTAAAACCTGTCAAGGCGACCATGCGGATAAGGCAACCACCTGCCCCAGAAGACCACTGCAACCAGGACCAAGGGATGCTGTTTCCAGTCAAATGACACTGGATAAGGAGACCACCTGGTAACAGAGACCACACTTTGAAGGTCCCTTGAGCGGTCGTCTTACAGGTTGCACTGTAGATCTATTCGCTTGCAAACAGATTTCGAGCGAGTACTCGATGTTTGGGTATACTTGCTTCACCAACACAGACACACACAGACACACGCACGCACACACACACACACACACACACACACACACACAGAAGATGTGAGGAAGGAATGAAAACCTTTTAAGAGAAAAAAGAGCAAAGGAAAGGTGAGCAACGTCGTGTATTCACCGCATGCAAGAGCAGACGACCATAGGAAATATACGGGGTGAAGAGATTCCAAAATTTTCTTTCCGTCAATATCTCTCTCTCTCTCTCGTTTGTTCTCTCTACACGATAATATGGTGTGAATGGAATGCACACAGCGCCGTAGAACAGCCGAGGAACACCACACGTAGCATACAGAAACCACCACCACAGATGTACGACTGCTGCCGCTGCCGGCACCAAAACAGGAACAAAAGAAAACCGAGGCTGAACACCGCGGTGCGAGGGGAGCGAGGGAGGGGAGGGGGTAAGGGAAAGTAAAAAGGATGAGGACATAGCCATGAGCCGGCCGAATACTAGTGTAAGGCAATACACAGCGCCAGTGACATAGTGGTCGAGTGCAAGCAAAGACCTCGCAGTGACATAGTGGTCGAGTGCAAGCAAAGACCATCAAAGATACGGTTAGTGAAGTTAGATAGGATAGGAACATTATTATTCGTGCGCGTGTGCGTGAAAAGCCCTCAGGACCAAAACAAGCCAGAAAACTAGAAAACACATATGACAAGGAAGGAGAGAGCGCAGTTGCCTGAAAAAAATGAGGAAGCAGTTGCCCGTGGCGAAGAGAGAGAGAGAGAGAGAGAGAGAGAGAGAGAGAGAGAGAGAGAGAGAGAGAGAGAGAGAGAGAGAGAGAGCGAGAGCGAGAGCGAGAGAGAGAGAGAGAGAGAGAGAGAGAGAGAGAGAGAGAGAGAGAGAGAGAGAGAGAGAGAGAGAGAAGAGAGAAGAGAGAGAGAGAGAGAGAGAGAGAGAGAGAGAGAGAGAGCGGAGTGAGGAGAAGAAAGAACGATATGATAAAGGCTAATATAATTTTCACATTGGTGGTCAAAGACAGGAATTCACATCACATCTGCATAGCAACATCTTTACTCGTTGACATCATCACTGACATCATCACTGACATCATCACTGACATCATCAGCATCACACGCTCACTGCTGCTGGCACTGGCACCACTAAAGTGTTACGACTGCTGCTGTTCTTCTATTCCTCCACATCCTGCACCTCCAGGTCACCGCCGGTGCCTGCAGTGTACACACACACACACACGCACACGCACACGCACACCAACAGATGAGAAAAGGGAGTGAGAGACATAAAGAGATACATCCTATCTGCCTTTCTGTCTGCCTTCTTCTTTTCCCTTTCCAAACCAACTGGTATATCTTTCTGGCTTCCTGATAGGGATGCAAGCCTAGTAAATCCAGCAAGCAGGTACCGTACTCGTACTTCCCCCAATATGAGTCGCACCTTTTCACACTAAACTTCATGTCATGGGCAAAGAAGAGGATGCACAGCTACACTGGAGTGTGACATCCGACTTACGTGAATATAATGAAACAATATGGCTCAAACCATTAAAGTGGGCGTGTGACTTATAACGGAGTGCGACGTGTACCGTAATGTCGCGTATTAAAGCCAGGCTTATTCCTGTAGAAGCCGATGTCAGAGCTAGGCTTCTATTCACATCAGGCTTCTATTCACATCAGGCTTCTATTCACATCAGGCTTCTATTCAAACCAGGACTGAGGTATTTCTACGTGTGTCAACACTAAAACCAGGCTTATGTGCCGACAGTGTATCTTGAAAATCAGGCTTGTATTCAAAAAAGGCTTCTATTCGAGATAGGCTTTAACCCTTTGGAACTGCACTGATCACACGACGTCAGGAGATAGCTGCAATTGCAAGTATATTCGTTCCAATTTCCATCATGACGCTGGTTCTACTTCACCGATTTTGACGATCTTGGGCTCGTTGGAAAGCTCTTGGAACGAGGATAACAGCGAGCCCAAACTCATTCAGGAGAGCGATTGCTGTCTG